AAGTCATGGACTGTCAGAGAATAGACACAAGAATAGAAGGGAAAGAAGGGGATTCCAGGCACACAAGAGGAAGGAGGAAAGAGAAAAGGAGAAAGGAGAGGAAGAGAGAGAAGAAAAAGAAGAGAGGAAAGAAGGTTATTCCAGAAAAAGAAGAAGGTAAAAGAGAGAAAGGTGATAAAAGAGATAAGTGGCATGAACAGAACTGAATGAAGGGATATTGTTTCAGAATAGAGAAAGGCAAAAGAAAAACGGAGAAGAGAGCCCCACTCATGAATCTAATGAGTCTTCACTGAACAGTACAAAAATTCAGTAAATTTTGCCTCCAGCACAATAATTCATAAAAGCCTATTTCATAACAACCATGACTAACCGCGCAATATATGGGCATTCCTTTTCGACATGACTGCAGGAGTTTTCCCGACTTTTTGGTTTTTTTAAATTTTGAATGAGATGTATGCAGTGTCCACTAATGTGTCTGGTAGTGTTTGGCACATCTCTGCCTGAGACACCACTAAGTCATGTCTTCCAGTCTCTTATGTTTTTGTGAATGATATGTAGTGAGTGTGAAGTAGTAATTCTGATACTGTATGGCATATTTCATCTAGCCAAACCTTAGATTTTTCCCTCTTCCAACATCTCTCATTCTTATTATGTTACTGCATATCACAGAGCTACCTCCTGCTATATCAACATCTATTCACTAGACAGTACTAATATGTATGTTATCTAACAGGCTAAATAATTTCTGTACATCAATCCGAATAGGCATATCCTATTTTCTAATGTAAATGATATTCAAAAATTCACAACACTCAAAACAATTCCTCTTACTTGGGGTTTAACAATACAAAGAATAAAATAAAATGCAGATTTCTGAGAGAACCGTATACCATTCTACCAAGCCCTTCTCGGATTTCCTTACCTCAAGATCTTCCTCTTCTTCTATGTTGGAAATCTGGTTATAGGCCTTAGTGTAAAGCTCCACAGCTTTAGCATGGAAGGCTAGTTCAGTCTGTAACAAAGATTGTAAAATTAATAAAAAAAGTTGGAAAATATATAGATTAAAAAAAAGAGAAAATAAACCTATGGGTCAAAAATCACTGTCTCATCATGCTAAAAATAATATACAAAGGTAAACCAATAAAACAAGATTTTGATAACTGATAAAAAGCGAGTTTCAGTTACAAGAACTTTGCATAAATACACAAGGTATACAAATAAATTATACTATCAGCTAATTATTTCAGAAAAAGCCTTGAGTTCAAATTTAAAATTCAAGTCAATAATTTAGCATTCTTGTTTTGCTGGGGTGCAAGCATATGCAAATGACACTATTACCCATGAATGACATTAACACAAATCTATTCTTGTTAAATATCTGTATACAGCGGACACCTCCATACCTGAATAAACTCCTTCAGTATTCTCTTCAAATCTGTCACCTTCCTCTGTTCGAACTGGTCCATCTGCTCTTCAATGTTTTCACATGCTCTTTTTGCTTCAACTGTGGCCTTCTGGAGCTTCGTTTCTGCAATTGCCTTGGGGTTGGAAAAAATAAGGCAGGATTATTTTGCAGCATGTAATGCACAAAGACAGCAAAGAGGACTATGATAATCCCCTTACAAATAGCATCAAACTGGTGTTAACCCAATGCTTCTCGGAAAATGTAATGTTCACTGCAGTTTTGTTTTGTGAAAAGTCTCTCAGCATGGATGGCTCAACAAGTGCTCAGCCACCAAGGAGTCAATTAGAAGACCTCATGACTAATGCTAACAATATTGGTACTGTCATCAATATAATGAACAATATAATTATTAGCATTGTTAATACAGCTAAAAGCAATATAAAAAAAAGAAAAAAAAAAGAAAAAATCAAGAAAAAGGTGAGATAGGTAGTACCAGTAATTCACTCCTTGGTGACTAAGCACTAGTGGAGCCATGTATATGTAATGACAATTTGTATCCTAAAGAGGGAGATACATACAATCTGCTGTCGATTCTGTGGATGTCTGCTCTTGGCTCTCTCCAGGTTTCTTCTATGGTTCATTTCCTGCTGCCTGGTGTTAAAGCTTCTTTTCAGTTCCTCTCGGGCCGATTTACATACGCCCTCATACAAAGCAAGCTCTCCAACAACCCTTGATTCTAATCTCTCCACTTCAACATTTCTGCAATTGTGCATAACTATTAATGAGGAGGAAACTGTGTAAATCTATGAAATACTTAATCTGGGACTAATTAACATTAAGGTTCTAAGTTAAACACACCTTTCACTAGAACAGTCGCATATCTTACAGAATGAGTGTCACGTTAAAGATAATTATCTATGATTTTACTTCCTTACTCAAAATTCATTCTAAATCCCTTTTTGGCATTACTTTTGTGATCCAAAACTTACCTGAAATCTTGAACTGCAGCTAAAGTATCTGCAGTTTCACAGAGAGATGATCGCAGGCTTTTGTTAAGATTTTCCACCTCTCCATAGCGTAGAAGGGCTGTAGATACTTCATCTCCTTTGTCCCTTAGGCTGATGGGAAAGTGGTACAAGATTTTAGTCTTATCCTAGGAATACTTATGCTTCTGGAATAATGGAGAGAGTCGTCCTAGGTAGCAAAATCTTTCAAATAAAGTTAAGAACTGCATATATCTCTGGTTTAGTTGGATGAAGTTATAATCTTAAAATTACTATCTTAGCCACATAGCTTAGATGATTCATTCTCTGCAACAAATGCTCTGAGCTAATAT